CATGCCATTAATCGTCAGAATGTACTCTAAAAATGTTATTTTCCTATTCATTGTTGCTCTTTGCTCTTGATTCTTTAAACTGTCCCTACTAAACATGTCTGTAAAACAACACAGTATTTTTCTAAAATTCTAAAAAAAAAAATGAAATTACATAAATGAAGTGTCTAAATAAATGTACATGCCAAAGTAGCAAAATTAGTCAATACATCCAAAGGAACAAAATACAAGACACACAGGTTCACAGGTTCTGAAACAGGTTCTTTTTTGAGCATCCAGATATCTTACAATTCCTATTTTGGTTTTTATTTTGTCCTTGGGCTATGATGTCAAAACTCATGCTTCTTTATCATCCTGAGCTTTAAGCACCTTTATCAACCTCAGCTTTTTCTGCTCCACTCTCACCCTTCCTAACAAACATTTGCTGCATTTAAAAGCTGAAGGTCTTAATTTCAGCTTTGCACATCAAGTTACTTATAATGCATCAAACCTCAATGTTCAATTTCTATACCGAAAATCTCAGAACAAGATTTTGTTCATTGTAACACCTGGATGTATTAAGATCTAACAATCTAATTGCAATAATTAAAATACCCTCTGAGCTGGGAAGTCATAGTGACATAATCTCAGAGGTGATGGCATTCTAGTTTCTTTGTTTATGTGGCCAATATGGACAATGTTAAAACAACACATGACAAAACAAAATCTGTTCTACACTGTATTTTTTGAACATATTAACAGCTTTGTAATACCTAATCTTTCTAACAGCTAAAAGTGTGCGTGAATTATTTAGTGTAACAACTGTTGATGTGAATAGCTGCCATCTTAAATGTGTAAGGTTGGTATGGCTGCATCACCCCAACTCTCTGACTCATAATTACAACTTTTGGGGTATTCAGGTTTACATTTCCTAGTTGGAGGCCAAAGGAAATAGTAACTGATGGGGTGTTCCAGTTGAAATGTGCTACTAGGAGGCTGAAAGTTCCAGCTAGTGAACACTAATAGAGCTACTTAGAGCTGTTGTCCGGCTGTTCAGTGATCATCCTCAACTATCTCAAGTCTTAAAAATCTCTAACAGACTGTATTCTTGGAAAAGCTCTGTATTTAGTGCCATTTTCCCCATTACCTTTCCAGCTTCCCTGTCTCTGTTGAAAAAAGAGAAAATGAAAGGTTCCCACAGCATGATGCTGCCAGCATCATATTTCACTGTAAGTATTGTCTGTTCATAAGAATTTGCCGCAACATATTGTATTGTGCATGTAATCTAAAAAGCTGTTTTCTGTTTACCCTGCATAGACTGTTGCAAATTGCAGAGGAGAATTTTGAAACCACCTTGTATAAAACTTGCATAAGGAACAATAGAGTAAAGAAAGCTTATAATGCACATCAAAGATCACTTTTCTTTATCCCTGTTCTTTATTTCTAATGTTCTTTCCGCTCCACTGTACAATTTTCTGGTTTGTCGATTAACAAAAACATAAAACACATTTGATCTCATGGTTGTAATATGACAAAAAGCGCAAGGGATACAAATTTTTCCAAAGTATTTGCATATATGAGTTCTTCCTTTCCTGAAAGAAATTTAAAGAATCTCACAAGATATAAACCACATTACTCGAATTCTGCGGAAAGGTCCTAGTTATAGATGTATTCTCAGCCTTACAAAATCCCAAATCAGTTCACTATATATAACGATACCAGTATTGGGCGGGGGCCCTGATACTGCACTAAAATAGAATTAGCATTGAGTTTGAAGCTTTATATGGTAGCCCAAAAACTTGTTTTGGATTAGAAAACATTTGAATTGAACCAGAAGAACGGGTCTATGCTTCTGAAAGGGGGGTCATTAGGGCCAATTGTTGGCTTGGCTGCCCAGGCGAGATGTTTTGTCCCCTAAGGGCTAATATTTGTAGCGCTACTAACTGTAGCGCTGCATTGTAGGTTTTTGAGAACTGAAACCTGAGATTTTTCTTTCTTAACATAAAGGGCTTCCTTCAGACCCCTTTCAAACCACCTGTCTTCCTTGTCCAAAATGAACGTTATGGTCATCAAATGTGTGTCCCTTTTCCATAAGGTGCAAGTGGACAGCAGAATCCTGTCCGGAGGAGGTAGCTCTTCTGTGTTGAGCCATGCTTCTTTGGAGAGGTTGTTTGGTTTCTTTTTAACTTTTTTGGAATGACTGTGAAATGGATGACTGAGAATCTTCATCAGCATTGTGTGAACATGTTTTCTGTTTGGCCAGTAGATGGCAGTCTAGGTCTGGTTGGGTTTACCTGTTCTCTCTTTCAGGTGCCATCAGAGATTTTGATTAGAGCTCAGGTTAGACAGTTATCATGGCCACTCTATTTTACAAAAATTCTTATGAAACTGGCTCATTATTGACCTCAAGATGTGAGTTTATTTTCTTGTTTGAAGCAGTGACCATCCAAAGTTTAATTTCCATTCTGATAGCAGGCGAATTTCAGGGCCTCTTCATACTTGATCTAATCCATCCTGTTTAAGTTTTTTTTGTCACAAACGACTGTGTCTAATCAGACCTAGAACATCACAAAATCAATGTCATGTTTCATTGTAGTAATGGATCTGACTAAAACCTAAAGGCCTAAAATGTACATATTGGGATCATCAATCTACAGAAAAGAATCCAAAACTTCTCCTGGTTACTTATATTGTTGTAAACTGATTTCAGAAGACTTTTTTTTTTCCTTGTATACATTTGTGTCAGTATTGGAGGTCAGGAGTAGTTCTCTTTAGCTTTTAGTATTTCATGTAGTGGAACCTCAAACCTCAGTGTCTGTTGCAAAACAAGTTTTGGTCCAGGTATTTGCAGTCAATCTGGTATTTTTTTTTTGACTATCTGCTTCCTCAGGAATTAGCACACAAACATATCAAAGTTCCTCCTCTTGCCACACCCAGGCACCATTGCCACTGCTACCTCCAACGGTATCTCCACACTCTGACACAGTGAAATATTACAGTCAGCCCATATGTTAGAGTTGTTCTATCTAAAACAAACTAAAAGCTACTTATAAATTTCTTTATTGATAAAAAAAAAAACATGATTTGAAAATCTGGGCACATTTGAAGAACTATTCTTAGTTAGTTGAATCCTTTCAAACCTGTAATACACTTCAAAACTATGATTGAATGCCAAATCTGCATCAAGTGTAATATTAATTTCAAAATTTCAGACAGATAGAAAAAAGTGAGCAATTTTGAATTTTCCTGGTGGGTGCTGAATAAGCACAACTGAAGCAATTATACATGAACTACATACACAGTTAATGGAGCAGTGGCGGCATCTACTGCTGATAATAATAACTGCATATCTCACTTAAAAAGTCTGCTGATACTAATGTTTATTAAAATAATGAAAACAGAATGCAAATGAGTCTATATTAAGATGCTTTTTATCCTAGAGTGTATAATTGATATATTTTGTCCATTTGCAACTTACATCTTTAAAATACAAATACCATGCCTAATATGTCAGGAAGAAAAATTACACTACCTCAATAAATCACACAAATGAATGTTAGTTTAATTAGTATTCATTGTAAAGATTCAAGCATCAGTGTACAGCAAAGGCAAAGGGCTGTGGTTGGATTCTGGGTCACTCAGTCATCGTGAAGCGGCTCGGGTCTCAGGGGTCCGTGTTGTCTCTGTACACTTGCAGGTTCTGTTTCTGCAGCATTTCCACACACAGAATCCTTTTTCAGTCACAAAAATAATCAACACAGTTAACTCCTAACATGTATTGTTACCTTTTTTATTCATATTCTAAGGACCGTCTTCCGTTTCGTGGCTGCAAGAGCAAGAAGAGTAATCAGTTTTGTTGTACCACCTTTACTTCCTGTTAAAACCTGACATAAACACACCCGATAGAGGAAGTAGCCCCTGCTTTCAATTCCACCAGGTCCCTGGAGTTCAGCCTGTATGGACACAAAAAGCAACAGGATTTATCTTTCCACTCAAATGATGATGGATTTTGTTGACGTAGAAAAAACGTTTCTCTCCCAGCAGAGGCAAGGGCATATACCCACTTATAAAGTCACTCAAAAACAAACAGTCTCCATATTTCTCATCCACATTTGCACTTTATCTGATTTGTTTGATAGCAAAGAAGGATGTGTTCCCCTTACAGCAGCACTCATTTTTAGACCATAATTACTCTCAGCTTGGAAAATACGACTAATGCAGACAGAGCATTACCGACTCGTGAGCTAAGGACGGGGAAAACGTGTTTAAGTCCACAGCGGAATGAAGCACATGTGTTTCAGTATCAACATCCCCTGCCAGTGCATGCTTTACCTCTAACCAGCTCTAAGTTATTGTCTAAAACTCAAGATCTCTAAATGTCTCTTTTTTGTTCTGAACACATCATATAATGTGTTGCAAGGTAAATAGAGCAGTTTTTTATCTATGGTTGCATTTGGTTTCTGCGTGCAAAACACAACATTTTTATTTTTATTTTAAAGTTGGTATTTGATTTAGCCAATGATCATATTATTAAAAAAGAATAAAAATGAAGTAATGTGAATGGTACGTACGCTCATTACGAGTCCTCTCTCTTTTCTGGATGGATGGAGCTGAGGAACGAGATGCAGAAGAGGGTGCAACTGAAAGGTCTGATCATCACACATGCGCACACACAAACACAGAGAGACAGATGCAGACGCACAAACATCAACAGAGTGGAATGCACAGTTTTGCTCCTGTCTGCGTAGCATTACCGATGCATCTAGTCTACAGTAACATCCGATTGACTGCCAGGGTGTGCTCTTTATGTAGCTTTAACTAGTTTTATTGATTTGAAAGAGACAAGTGATTATGTGAATGCGTATTAGATGGCCATGATTCCTTATTGGTTTAGATTGGTGGATTATTTATGAGTAAAACATGTGACAGCTAAACAAAATGGAATAGCTCTTACATCCCTGTTCATAAAAATAAATTCATACTTGTTGAAAAATCCATTAAATAGCTTATTGAATCTAATTATTTTACTGTCTTTCAATTTTCTCTCAGTGTGAATAAAGAGATGTGGCTAAACCCACTAAAACTAGATGGCCTTAAGGGACATCATTTGCAAAATAAATATATATTTACATTTCAGATGATCAAATCAGATTGAAAAAGATGCACCAAAAAGGTAAAGAAATCTGTCAGAGAAAATGTGTCAGACATTATTAAAAATCCTATAATTGTTATCATAATTTTAAATTACATTTAATAAACTCTGTCAGCATTTGCAATAAAAATCAGAAGGTTTCCTTACACTGTTATTGTAAAGTGAAAATGGTCTGAGGTTGACGTTTAGTGCAGGTTAGATCATAGACCAAATCTATAGTTCTATAGACTAAGAATACTAATTAATACATACTGTAAACAAGTTTTAAAGACACAAGCAACAATTTACTTATGTAAGGTTAGAGATGATGTCGTTGAGGCAAATTAAAGTGAAATAATGATTTTTTAAAAAGGCCTCATCATCCATTGTCTATATAAACGTATTCATATAGAATGTTGAGGAAGCCAGCCCGGTAAATCACAGGGAAACACACCAACACAAAGAAAAAGCAACCAAACACTCACACACTGGCACCTGAGGGTCAATATGGAGCAACTGATACATCAATATATTGATTGTTTTTCCTTTCACTGTGGTAAGTAGCCAAACCAACCCAATAAATAATTAAAAAGTAGAGCATGCAAACTTTACACAAAGTGCAATGTACAAACCTGGGGTCATCTTGGTGCAAGGTTAATTCCTGAGAAAGTGGCTAATTTTTCATGTAACTAAGGCATTTGGCTTTTTTGGAGGTATGGTGAATAAATGGTGTCCAACATGCATAGAACTAACAAAAAATAACAGCGTTTAATTTACAGTCTGTGCATATTAGTACTGTGAATGTTTGCCCATGCGTTCTGCAGCTATACTTTCATACACTACAGAAATATGAGGGACATGAAAACATGCAACTATGTTATGAGCATCAGTAAAATATTATTAATTTCAATGGGTTTAAAAAAGAAGTGCAGGTCCCATATAATTTAATTTTATCTTTTAACCTACCACCCTGTGTGACAAGACAGAGCCCTGTGGTCTAGAATAGTGAAATAAAAACTGCAAATACAGCGCAGTATGCCAAACATCACAAGAAAAGCACATGCAAACCCATAGCCAACAAATTATTTGGTAATTTTGAGGTGAAAGGAAACCAGTTCAGCATAAAAAATATCAACTTACCCTTTTACTATTGTCTTGAAGTCTTAGTTCCTAAAAATGTAAAATTTATCTGATTAATGACAATTATATGTTTTAGAAAAGCAGTTTGCGAAGACGAGAATCCATTATTTGATGTAAAATACCTTTGACTTCTGAACCAGCATCAAGATACAGAGTTCCCCTATGACATCCGATGTCTGAAAAAATATATATGTAAGCTGTTAAAAATAACCCTGATACAACTAAGCTGTTTCAGACTGCACTCACCCAGTACTTCATATCTTCAGAGAGGTATGATGAGCAAACAGTGTCTATCTGTGGAGATGCAGCACAATTGATTATGGAGGGCGGTACCAAAAAAAAAGTTTAGAGAATGCAACAAAGCAAAGTGTACCTGGTGAAGTAGCTGCCTCTGATCTGTTATGGCCTGTTGAAGATTGACTGGCGCACCTTTCATTTCACAATAAAACATAAAGACACACATTTAACATGACTGGAGAGTCTATATCATCCCAGTGTCCATATCCAAAACTGATAGTGTGCTTTTTATCCAGAGAGCTAAACAATTGCATTAGGGGTGTGTGGATCGTGCAGGTGGAATAGCGACAACCAACAATGTTTTTTTCCAGTACGCTTTGACATGATTGCAGTGAAGGTCCATTAGCAGGATAATAGCTGTACTGTCAAATGCAAAGCAGGATAGTGCTCAAATTATACCTGCTTTGATAGAAAGATTGCTTAAAATCAAGGAATAGCATTTTAGATTTTATTCATATAGAGAAAAAAAACACACCACTCGAATGTTGACACTGATGGTAAATCCTAAAATCTTATAGACAAATACAAAGGTCTGATTGATAGGTTATGATAAAGTGTCAGTCTACATCTGTGCTCGCTTCAGTCATTGTTTTACTTTATGTCAGTGTCCGTGTTGTCTTGTTTGTTTGTTTGTTTGTTTAGATAGATAGATAGATAGATAGATAGATAGACAGACAGACAGACAGACAGACAGACAGACAGACAGACAGACAGACAGACAGACAGACAGACAGATAGATAGATAGATAGATAGANAGATAGATAGATAGATAGATAGATAGATAGATAGATAGATAGATAGATAGATAGATAGATAGATAGATAGATACTGACAAATTTCCAAACTGTATAAACATTAAATTGTAATACTTTGAATCTCATATACATTGTGGCAACCAGAAATTTAAATAAATGCAAAAACATAGTTGTTGCATCTAATAATAAATACAAATATATGTCAACCTACTGGTACAGGCAGGTATGGTGAGGATGAACAGGACTGCCAGGGTGAGGGGACCCATAGCGCTGCTGCTGATGCTGTGCAGACTGCTGAGGGCTCCGCGCTGCTCGGGTTGGCTCTGGCTCTTGAAAGTCTTCATCTCCTTCTCTGAGTGGCCCTTCTTTTACTCTTGTGTTTTTTTTCCCTCCCACTTCAAGCTCTTCTGACACTTTATGCTTGGCGTCAGACAATTATGAAGCCTCGCGCGCCCCGCACCCTCCATTGAGGGACGTGGCTGCGTCATTGGGAAGGACCCCGCGCGCGTGTTCAATTATGAGGCAGGAACTGCAAGCAGGATGAAATGCTTATGGAAACTATGAGCAATGCGGTAATGAAGGAAAAATATTGAGTAAATAAGAAGTAGGAAGCAGTAAGAGAAGTTTAACCAAAAGTTCAAACATTGTTTTGTTTCCACTTTGGCACTGGCAGTTTATGGGATGTCGTTTGTTAAGTTACTTTGTCAAATAATTGCAGCAGTATTTCGGTCATTTTGCCTTAAATAAGATAAAACAATATCTCAAATTTATAAAACATTTAATTAACAAGTTAAATATTTATTATACAAAGTAAATATTTAACATGCTAATCAAACATTTGTTTAGCAAGGTAAATATTTAGCAATAAACTAAAATAAATATTAAGATTGCAAACTAAATGTTAAGCTTTCAGTTAGCCTAAATATTAATTTCCAAACCAAAGGTTTAAGTTCAGTTTAAATATTGATTCTGTAAACTAAATATTTATTTTTTAAATTAAACCTTTAGTTTTTAAAAAGATATTTCTTGTGAAATAGATATTTATTTCAGACACTGAATATATAGTTTGGAAATGTAATATTTACAAATGTATGTATAATATGGTAATTGTATGACTTTTAATATGACCCCATTTTACCCTCATTCTACCAAAGAATAAGATCTTAGTCTCGTTGCCCCACTGGGCTTCAGCTGCATTTCACTAAATGATATTTGGTAAATATTGTATTATTTATTTTGTCCAATTTTACAGCTCCTTATATCAGAAACGTAGAGATACTGTGGCAAACGTAAGTTTCTAATTTTGTATAATAATTTTTCCATGAAAATCACAATTTTTACATAAGAGTGTTATTTAAAAAAATATGTATATTTTGATGGCAAAACTCAAGGTCAATGTAATAATAAGAAATTGTCATTTGCTCCAATATGTTAAAAATGACAAAGGAGCTTCAATAAAAAAAAAAAAGAAAAACACTCACAAAGTGAAAGAAACATAATTTTTGCTACAATATAACTTTAGAGCATTAAAGGAATAGTACACCCAAAACATGATTAGCCTTCATTTTCTACTCACCCCCATGCTGAACAACACTTTCGCACTTTCATCTGGTTTGGTCTGCCGCGGTTTCCGTAGACTCGTGAACGCGCTTTTAGGAAATCCTATACACTACTGTTTAGGCTCTAAAACATTCTAAATGACTTCGTTTCAAGTAAATTATGGACGCTACCCACTCAGGACACTTGGAATACATTGGACGAGCAGTATGGAGGAATATTGACACGTTTTTTGTGGACTTTTATGGACCTTTCTGCCTCGGGCACCATAGACCTCCATTATTTGAATGTCAGCAGAAAGCAAGAAGCCTCCCAGATCTCCAGATGCATTTGAGATATCAAAAAAGTACTCCAGAGTGTTGTTCAGCATGGGGGTGAGTAGAAAATGAAGGCTAATCATGTTTTGGGTGTACTATTCCTTTAATGTTGATACAGGCACTTACATTATTTAAGTTTTTTTATCTTACCTTATTCACTTTTTTTTAGCTTTATCTTTTAACTTTTCTAATAGCTTTTTAACTTTCCGGTTAGCTTCTTACCTTTTTGACTTAACTTATTAACTTTTCCCAGCTTAATTTACAATAGGTAACATATTCAATGTATCTAATTGCTCAAATGCAAAAATCTATTGCCATGTAGCAGTATCTTTGCTGATTAGCTAGACCTCACTGACAGGTGTGGGGGACTTCCTTTGTAAGGGTTATGTAAGTGATCAAAACCAGTAACTTGCCCCATAAAAAGTATTAATAAGGGTCAGAATGCTGGTAACTGGACTAATTGGTCCTCTCTAATATTCTTGTTTGCTGAGACAGTGAATTGTTATCCGTAAGCCATAATCATCCCATATAATAAAAAAAGGCTTAAAATGTATATATATGTATATATATTTCTTTGTGTAATCAATCTAAATGATAGTGTCCCAATCTAAAATTGATATTGGAAATCGACCGGATATCAGCCAAAAAAAGAATATCGTAATTTGTCAGTCTGCCTCTCAAATAGCTGATATTAGAAATCATTCATCATATAAAAAGCTCTCCTGATTTCTGGCTGTTCTCGCCATAGCAGATTTTAAAACTTTGAGCATTGCCTCGTGGTTTTGGTTGGCTTAGCAGCTGCAGCAAGGATGTCAAACTGAAGTCCTTGAGAGCCAATATCCTGCAACTTTTAGACATTTCCCTGGTTCCACACATCTAAAGTAAATGGCCTAACTATCCCCTCAGTTGAAGTCAAATCCAGCAAATGGCCCTAATAATTCGATTGATGTTTGTTAAGGCAGGCATGCATCTAGAAGTTGTAGGGTGCTGGCCCTCAAAGACTTTAGTTTGACATTCATGGACTACAGGAAGTAAAGGGGCACTGCTGCCAGAACAAGTAGCACAATCTGGGCTAAAGAGAATGTCTATTTGAAAAGACTTAAACATTTTATATCTTTTCGATAACCCATTTAGTATCGCTTCTATGAAAATATCGATTATTTTTACAATCCTACTCTACAGAAGTGGAATGTGGTCATATTCTCTATAAACATCTCATCATCATGGTAATAAGATGTGTGCTTTCCTAATGTAAGAAGATATTTATTTATTATATTTATTAAATAATGATGAATAACGATTTCTCCAGAAAATTAGATATTATGTTATCCTTTCATTATGCGAGATCCTTTTTTTAAGATAATGGATTCTTATAGCTTATTTGTTTAAAACAAATTATCAATTTCTCAGTGAGGTTACTTGCCAAAAATGGACTCAAGCTAAAAAATGTCAGACCATAGAGAACCCACACTTTACTTCTCTCAATTTCTAACACAGGCTGAAATTGCAGTTTGCCAACCCTTCAGCAGAACCCATGAAACAAACCAACCTATCTGAAGAAGGCTGTATACCAAGTATTCTTTCCCTACAATCATCTCTTTTGTTCTAGTATACCTTCTTACTTTCTTGTATACATAGTTTGGGTATTTGACACAGTGTCTGTAATTTTTCTTAGGTTTTCTTCTGGAAAATCTCTTTCCCTTGAAACTTAGAGAAACTGGTCCTGTCATGATCTTGGTACTGATGACTGGCTCAATAGTTCATTCCATCCACCTGCCTAGCACCTCCCAGTTTCTCATTACTGTTCATCTTTTCCACCTGCTCCTGCCTCTATTTAAGATGTTTGCTCCCAGTCATCAGTGCCAGATTATTCAAGGCTTTAGTGAGAGTTCTCTAGCATACCCTGTGTGTTGTTCTAATTGCCTGATCCTGTCAAGTTCTGCCCTTTTGACCTCTGAGCCTGCTTGTTCCCATTCTGATCTGTTTGCCTGACCTTTCTTCGGACTCCTGCTGGATTCTGCCTGCTTACTACCATGGATCTGTCTCCTCACCTCGACTTGAATTTCCCTTCGGTACCTCTTCGGATCTGTGATCTTCTGGCCTGGACTCCTCTTTACCTGATCGATCCCAGCTTTGGCTTCGCCCTCTGGAAACTCCTGCCTGCTTCTGCTCGTCAGCATATTCAGCAGCCTTCTTTGCTTCAGCTCCTGGAACGCTCTGGGCAGCATCTGCCGCATGCTCTGAGAAATCATCCAGCTGGATTCCCCTCCTTCTGCTGGGCATGGACTGAACTTTAAAACCAGAGATTCTGGCCTTTTCCACCCTAGCTGCTGGGTTGCAGATTCGATGTTTGTCAATAAATGCTTTTATAAATTACATCAGTCTATCTGCCTTAAATTCTGGGTCCAACGTTCTGAGTTCTGACTGGTCCATAGTGCTTTGGGAAGATACAACAAACAAAACAATGCATATTAATCACTGTCAAATTATTTTTTTCTTAGATTCTTTACACTACAGACTTTGAAGGTTGTCCAGTTCTGATACACTCTTATTAGCAATGGAGGACGCCTCTCAAAGATGCTGTACCAAAATATGAGTTACTCCTGACTGGGAACGTCATACTTCCAGCGTTATCTAGTTAAACGTTTATTTTCCCAGTGTTAAAATTATAATATTTCTTCTAGGTAAGAATTGGGGAGAGTAAGCTCCCCATATACATATACCTTTCTTTACAACGGGTAAGTCATACTGAGAAAATCCGTCTCCTTTATATACATTTTTACTTATCTTTAAATCTTCCTCTTAAGTTTGCGATCCAGAAACTAAGGTACTAACTATTTACATAAGTTGAGTTTCTGGCAAAGGGGTATCCATTTGTATTGCCCTTTTGATGAAAGCTAAAGAGGTTTATTTCAAGACTGATCCATTTTTGAAAGTGACTACCTCTCCAAAACAAAGGGGAGCACATCTAAAACCATTTATGTAGAAAATGATAGAATAGCTCACAAAACAAAGTAAATTACCAACCATCGACATGGTATCATCATTGTTTACCTATCACTTATTCACAGAATTATGCCAACATGACATAACATAAACTTATAAGTAGTGTCTTGTTGTGGTGTTATGCCTTTAAAGGATGCAACAGCACATACACAAATCATCATTATAGAGATCATGTAATGCATCCTCTCATCACAGCATAATGGTCTTCGTTTTTTTAAGATAAAGAGATAATTAACTTGTTATCTCAAAAAAATAATTGGGAAAAACTATAGGAGGAGAATATCTGCTCTCGCCTTTTGTTTTACTCTGGAGTTGAAATGGCAAAGTTATTTAGGGAAACAGCTAAAATCAAACTCATATTTAACTAAACATCAACCTTGACAAAGTATTGCCCTAGTGATTACATCATGGAGGCTGAGAACTTATTGTATAGCAGTGATCTGAATTCAGAAAGTATTGGCCCTCTCATTTAAGGGCAGACCACCAAACAACTATTCAAAAATCTAATCACATTCTA